TCCTTTACCCCACTTTATGCCCTTTCCTTTGAACCGGCACTTACACTTGCATTCCTTTTGTTCTTTTGTCAGTGCAGCCTAAGAACATGACTGAGAGGGCTGAAGGGAGAGTCATTCAATCAATCAATCAAAAAAAATTGTATGGCACAATCTGCGTAAAAGGCCATTCAAAGTACTTCACAATACCTATTTAAAAACACAGATCAAAATGCATAAAAAACTAAAAAGGCAGCAAGATACCACCATTTATCATTTTGTATTAAAACAAAGCAGAATATAGGTATTGGGCTTTTTTGGGCAATAAAATAGATTTTATTTAAAGTTTTTTTCAGTATTATTTCAGTATTTAAAAAAACTGTATTTCAGTGTCTCCCTATAGTAATAGTTTACCTTACTCCTCCAGCATTTAAGCCCCTCCTTAGTTCTTGGTTATATTTGTTATATTTTTGGAATATAATTTAGATTAAATTAGAAATGATTTTACACCTGTTGTCCTTGCCTTATGTTTGCTCCACTAAAGGGAGGCTATAGCAGCAAAAAGGTAGATTACCATCAGAGTGCTTGTCGGTGCATTAGCTGTCTTCTGCTTTGACATACTGTCCCTCTGCCTACAGCTGAGATAAAACGTTGAGGCACCCTAGACTAAACTAAATCCCTTTTTCTTTCATGATTCCAAGATTAATGGACTGAAGCCTTTACATGCAGCTCCACTCCAGTGCGCCGCAGTAATTACACAACCTATTAGTGACTGTGAGCACCTCCACATCCTGTGCATTCGCTTCATCCATGGTTGGTGCTACTGGGACCCCATTGCACAGCCCTTCATCAAAACTATTCACCCAGAATACTCATCCAAAGATTTTTTCTATAAGATTAATAGAAGTGAATCAATATTGGTGTTACTATGGATAACAACCCAGTAAATGGTCTACCTGAAACTGTTTTAATTATAGTGAAAATACCTCATTCACTAATAAGTATTCGTAGTTTTAGCCCTGTGTATGTGTCTTTGTTTTGGGGGTTTTTTTCGCTTCCCCTTGAAGTCACCACAGACCGGTTTGATTGTTATTGTCTGCGACTTCAAAACCACAACTCCATCCACTGCTTAATCCTGACTAAATTGTTTTTCTTGTTATCTGAAAACGTTGTCAAGCTGGGAAACAGAATTACAAGGTACTTTCAAGCATCGGCAGGCGTTAGAAATTTGTTTGTCTTGGGAATCCAAAGAGACTTCCATGAGGGTCCTCACAGAAAACATGTAACGGCTTGTATTACACTGCACGGTGGCGTCAATATTGTGACGTGGTTAAAAAGCTGAAAACTGTTGATTTAGCATAATGTGTCTTCTTTAAGGGATGCAGCCTAAAAAGCCTAAGCCTAAAGGAGACACATTGGATCTAAGATGCTTTTACTTTGACTCGCCCCTTGTATTCCACAAACGAAGTACTCAGCACTGTCCAGAAGACTGCACATTACGCTCTATTCTACAGTATATCCATTAGAAGTCCAGAGAGCCGTGCGTGTCGGTGCACAGTACAGGGAAGAACATAGCCCCAGGACAAGCCCTTTTCTCACCCCTGTGACACCAGCGAGTGTGCATGTGTCTTCAGTCTTCTTGTTTTCGTTCACACATCACAGGATCAGAAGGAAAACGACAAATGCATATAGTGTATATAAACGGCTATGAGCAGCAAGACCTGATCCAGGATTGGAAAATCAGGAGAAGACATGCATGAAAGAGCAAAAAGTCCAAAGCCACTCCAGACAACACAGGAAGAGTGGCCTTATCCAATCCTGTATGCTATTGATGATTGGTTAACTGAAATTCAATTCTATTTATATTTCAAATACTAGGGATTCACTGATAGTGGTCGATACCATAGGATTGTACTCATACTCCTACTTATACCATAGGACCCGGTGCCAGAAACACACATTTTTAATTGATTGACTGCGGAACCTTCCGCAGTCAACCATTGGTTTTGTATTTCTTTATTCCGTCATTTTTTTTGACACGTTTCACAGCTTTCACATTTTCAACAATTTCCACAAGTTATACATCAAAACGTTCCACATGTTTGGGAGATTATTGCTATTACTTTTGGGACTTCAGCGATTTCCGGTTTTTCCGCAATCGGACAAAAATCTGCATTGAGAATTCTGCAATGCATTTTAATAGGCCCATGCATTTTAATAGGACTTCAGCTCTTTCAGACATTTCTACAGTTTCAATGATTCAACAGTTTCAAGGATTCAACAGTTTCAAGGATTTCAGCAGTTTCAAGATTTCAAGAGTTTCAAGGACTTCAACAGTTTCAAGGACTTCAGCAGTTTCAAGGACTTCAGCAGTTTCAAGGACTTCAGTGTAATCATGCAACCTAATAGGGATTTTTCCATGTAAACCAGTATAATGCAACTTAATAGGGATTTTTCCATGTAAACCAGTATAATGCAACTTAATAGGGTTTTTTCATGTAAACCAGTATAATGCAACTTAATAGGGTTTTTTTTCATGTAAACCAGTATAATGCAACTTAATGGGGATTTTTCCATGTAAACCAGTATAATGCAACTTAATAGGGGTTTTTACATGTAAACCAGTATAATGCAACTTAATAGGGTTTTTTCCATGTAAACCAGTATAATGCAACTTAATAGGGTTTTTTCCATGTAAACCAGTATAATGCAACTTAATAGGGTTTTTTCCATGTAAACCAGTACAATGCAACTTAATAGGGATTTTTCCATGTAAACCAGTATAATGCAACTTAATAGGGTTTTTTACATGTAAACCAGTATAATGCAACTTAATGGGGATTTTTCCATGTAAACCAGTATTATGCAACTTAATAGGGATTTTTCCATGTAAACCAGTATAATGCAACTTAATAGGGTTTTTTCATGTAAACCAGGATAATGCAACTTAATAGGGTTTTTTTTCATGTAAACCAGTATAATGCAACTTAATGGGGATTTTTCCATGTAAACCAGTATAATGCAACTTAATAGGGGTTTTTACATGTAAACCAGTATAATGCAACTTAATAGGGTTTTTTCCATGTAAACCAGTATAATGCAACTTAATAGGGTTTTTTCCATGTAAACCAGTATAATGCAACTTAATAGGGTTTTTTCCATGTAAACCAGTACAATGCAACTTAATAGGGATTTTTCCATGTAAACCAGTATAATGCAACTTAATAGGGTTTTTTACATGTAAACCAGTATAATGCAACTTAATGGGGATTTTTCCATGTAAACCAGTATTATGCAACTTAATAGGGATTTTTCCATGTAAACCAGTATAATGGAACTTAATAGGGGTTTTTACATGTAAACCAGTATAATGGAACTTAATAGGGGTTTTTACATGTAAACCAGTATAATGCAACTTAATAAGGATTTTTACATGTAAACCACTATAATGTAACCTAATAGGGGTTTTTACATGTAAACCAGTATAAAGCAACTTAATAGGGATTTGTACATGTAAACCAGTATAATGCAACCTAATAGGGATTTTTCCATGTAAACCAGTATAATGCAACTTAATAGAGATTTTTCCATGTAAACCAGTATAATGCAACTTAATAGGGATTTTTCCATGTAAACCAGTATAATGCAACCTAATAGGGATTTTTCCATGTAAACCAGTATAATGCAACCTAATAGGGATTTTTCCATGTAAACCAGTATAATGCAACCTAATAGGTTGCATTATACCACCAGACCAAGACCCAAACGAAGACTCAGACCACCACCAGATAATGACCACAGACCAGGTTTCCTTAGTTACAGGAACCAAATTGTTTCAGCGGTGAGGGGATTTTTCAGTTTCAAGGACACTTTCAATACATTCAGTAGTTTCAAGGATTTCAACTGTTTAAGAATTTAACCAGTTTCAAGGATATCAGGAGGTTCAAGGATTTCAGGAGTTTCCACACTTTCAACAGTTTCCAGGTTTAAAAAAAGTTTCAAGGATTTCAGGAGTTTCAATGTTTCAACAGTTTCAAGGATTTCAGGAGTTTAAAGGTTTCAACAATTTCAAGGACTTCAGGAGTTTCAAATATCTATCAAGTATTTTAACAGTTTCAAGGCCTTTTAAAGGATTTCAAGGATTTTTTTTAGCAGATTTCCACATTAGATCTGTTCCGCAGTCAATCGCAATGGCTTCAGCCATTGCAAGTTTCTAGTTAACATTAGCGTCACAACAACAGACAGCTGTGCGGCATGTGTACTATATACAATCCATTGGAAATGAGAAAATAATCTTGGGCTTAGTAGTGGTGTCACAGATGAAAATTTAAACTCATGGTTATTGTGACCAAAATTATCACGGTTTTTGGTATTAATGTGGTAAGTTCAGTGAATATGATCAGAAAGCATATGATAGTTCTACACAAACTGAAATAGTTTAATAAAAGTGAACAAATGTTAGCTACAAGTAACATTTGGTTGATAACATTCAATTAGTTATAATACACGTAGTGAATATCACTAAAATGGTTAAAACAAACAAAGTGCTTGGTATTGTTCCTTCATCTAGCGATCAATAATGCTGTGTCTTCATTTCACGTCTCATCTATTACTGTTTACCTGTTTAGCGTAGCATAAACGGCATCTTACCTAGCATTGGCTATACAGCTGTTGCAGGTTTTTACTGGGGTTTACTGTTACATCGGTAATCGTGACATCCCTGGCGCTTTGCTGGAGCCCACCCAACCCCTCCTCTTGCCACAGCCAATGCTTGTGAGGACTCATCTAAAGGGTAGTTAATAAGGAAAGAAATAACATTGGCAGGTGTTTCAATACCTTTCATGTCTGCTTTAGTGCTACAGAGCAACAACGTACTGAAGCTGGAATTACCAGGCGGAACAATGGATTAGCCATCAATACCTGCTAATGGGACCCAGTCATAGTTCGACCAGTGTAATGGAAGTGAATGGGAAATGTGTGATGTCTGATTGAACAGAGCCATGTCGTTCACAGTATTTCTTTACCTTCCTCTTGGCCTGGAGCTGTCCATGGTAGTTGTCAGATGAAACTCCCGGAATCTCTCCTCCCCACAGTGTCACGCCAACAATGGTGTAAGTTATGGCCATGACCACAAGGGGCAGCAAGTACACCAGCACCGTTACGATGATATGATACCTGGACAGAAATAGACACAGATGAGCCGTTATATTAGTTATCTGACATTATAGCACATTATTTTAATGCTGCATTCTGGTAGTGTTGGAGGTCTGAACTCTGATCTAAGAGGGCTGTTTTGATGTTGCTATTAGCACTGATTACATTATATTGACAGATATTGGCATAACATTAAGCAATTTGGTTCCATCCCTTCTTTCACATGCATGCATTTTAGCCTCTGTCATGACTTTAGATCAGCTTTATCAATAAAAAAGAGAGCACTAGCCCTCAGTCAGCTCTCAATAGGTAAGACACAAACGTTATGGTCTGATTTCCAATATTTTCTTTTGGGAAAAACAAAATGTATTCATGAAACTGAATTTACGAATATTTGTGAAAAATTATACTAAACTATAAACTATAGTCAAACTTTGATTGTGATTTGATTCCCAAAGATCGTTCAGCCTAAACTGATTTAGAATGTCAACATGTAACATAATAGGGAGATTGTTCATACATTAAGGAGTCTTTAGCTTTGCGGGGCCAGGCCACGTAGCACAGTGGGCGATTGCGTGCGATCATGGTGGTGGAGTAGTAGCACAGGGGGAAGGCCAGGGCCACAGCCAGACACCATATGACCACTATGATGCACGTAGTGGCTTTAGCCGACAGACGGGGCTTCAGGGGGTGGATTATAGCCATGTACCTGCAAACATAGAAGCATAAAGATAATTTACACAAGTGGAATGTGGGTATGATGAGGAGAAAAACTTTGCATCCTGGCTTTCATATGCGCTCCAACTGGTTCAATGACGCACTTACAAAATGTGGCATTATTGTGAAATCGCAACATTCCAAAGAGCTGAAAAACAGTGGTGGAGGGCAGCTGAAAAATCTTGGTAGCTATGGCGACAGTATTTAGACTTCCATCAGTCAAAGCTGCATCCTGATCCATGTCAGGGCAGCAGAGCACATCTACTCACCTCAGCGAATAAGTGTCTGATGAGAGAACAGAGCAGCATTTTACATATGGGTGCTGGAAAAACGTAAATTAGCCCCGCAAACACGCTCTGATGCACCGCCGCACAAAAAGCGAGCACCACATCACCATCCTTATGCCAAGGCTCCAGATTGCCCTTCAGTTCACATAACCCTTTTTTTTCTGACTCTCTCTTTTCTGTCTCTTTAAACACACCTAAATCACAGAATAAACTGTGGTGGTCCCAGCTTATATTCTAAGATACTTACAATACAATACGGTCATATTTCTGTCACTAAAATTAAAAACATGTAAACATTATTTACACATACTTAACAATTCTTGAACGTCACACCCCTAATATTACCTTTGGTAGGTATCCATAGGTATTCTTTAACACTGAATATAAAAATGCCAAAAACAGATTTCTGTTTTTAAATTTTCCTCGAGTTACAATCTTCAACATGTTTTGTTGGTGACAATAAATTGGAAAGAATTTGCTTAAAAAGGGGTGACATTTTTGCATGGCACTAAAATAGATCTGGCTTTTTAAAAAATATGGTAAAGGGTAAATTGTACTATTAAAAAAACTAAAATTGAAGGCCATTGTGATATTTCTTGCAAATGAATTTGTACAGCCAACCTTCAAACACAAAACTGGACACAAGCTCTCACCATTTGGGGTCTCTACCTCAAATCCATTGCCATCCTATTCTACACAGGTTGGAAGGACCTGACTTTAAAAAAGAAATTAAACATTTAATAATTATAATTGTAAAAATAGTAATACAAATAAAAATACATTTAAAGGAATAAACATTATAGTATATAGATAAATATTAGGAATGTGTTTTTTTTATGTCATATTATTGTCATAAATGTGAGTGTACATAGATATTGACCTTTGTACCCAGCAAAGTATCACACAGGTTTTAATTAAATGCCATTACTGTTAACAGTGTGTAAGTGTTACTCCCAATACTGCGGGTATGTGACTGCACAGTTAATATATGTTGTGTATCGTACATACGTGTGTAATATAATGGCCCTCATTTATGAAACTTGCAGAAAAGGGTGTATATTCCAAATACGCAAGATCCAACGCAGGATTTATAAACGTTTGAGATCCGCCCAGATCTTAGCGTACGCACCTGCGGGTGTTGATGAATGCCGCGCTGAAAACGAAAGTTTTTATGAAAGTCACGCCTAGAAATATGCAGCAGCCGCCTGTTTCACGCCCTGTTTTTACAACAATTGAGAAGAGACGGCCAAGAAAAAAAACTTCATGGAGCAGGACATTGAGACTATTATGAACAGAGTGGGAAAAAATTCTTACTATTTGGAAGCCTCAAAAGTGGCATCAAGGGGCTATAAAATACAATATAGAAAGAGATGACAACATCTGTAAACAGCGTGGGGGCTGTAACACACACTCTTGAAGAGGTGAGTTTATGTTTGACATAATATACGCTATATTATGTCAAACAGTTGATAGATATATTGGGCCAATAGTTAGGATTTATTAATTTATGCCTTGAGGTGGAAAAAAATAGAGCTACCTTAAAATGGCGACATAAAGGTGTCTAGTAGCTCATAAAAGAAGTGCTCAGCAGCCCAGGAGAGCTTCCAAAAGGAAGTATTAAGAAATAAAATTATCTTCAAATTATTTATGGGATTATTATTTTAAAATGGTTGGGCTGCTCCACCAGTGCATCATGGCACACCGAGGTCCTGTGCCTGTTGTGGAAAACCGAGCCAGGATCATATGGCACACTTGTACCGGGAGGTAAGATAAGATAAGATGTGCTTTATTTTTCTCACTAAGGAGAAATTTACATGTCACATTTGGCATGGATAGGACACTCAGATTGTGCAAAAGGAGGAAATGTGCAAACATGTTACAAGCAGGATAATTATGTACAACAAAAGTGACAATAATTACAGTGCCTTACGAAAGTATTCGGCCCCCTTGAACATTTCAACATTTCGCCATATTTCAGGCTTCAAACATAAAGATATAACATTTTAATTTTTTGTCATGAATCAACAACAAGTGGGACACAATCGTGAAGTGGAATGAAATGTGTTGGATAATTTAAACTTTTTTAACAAATAAAAAACTTAAAAGTGGGGCATGCAATATTATTCGGCCCCTTTACTTTCAGTGCAGCAAACTCACTCCAGAAGTTCAGTGAGGATCTTTGAATGATCCAATGTTGTCCTAAATGACTGATGATGATAAATAGAATGCACCTGTGTGTAATCAAGTCTCCGTATAAATGCACCTGCTCTTTGATAGTCTCAGGGTTCTGTTTAAAGCACAGAGAGAACCATGAAGACAAAGGAACACACCAGGCAGGTCCGAGATACTGTTGTGGAGAAGTTTAAAGCCGGATTTGGATACAAAAAGATTTCCCAAGCTTTAAACATCTCAAGGAGCACTGTGCAAGCAATTATATTGAAATGGAAGGAGTATCAGACCACTGCAAATCTACCAAGACCCGGCCGTCCCTCCAAACTTTCATCTCAAACAAGGAGAAGACTGATCAGAGATGCATCCAAGAGGCCCATGATCACTCTGGATGAACTGCAGATAACTACAGCTGAGGTGGGGATGGTGTGTTCAGGGTGATGAGCTGTGTTGCTTTTACGCCAAACATATCGTTTTGCATTGTGGCCAAAAAGTTTGATTTTGGTTTCATCTGCCCAGAGCACCTTCTTCCACATGTTTGGTGTGTCTCCCAGGTGGCTTGTGGCAAACTTTAAGATACTTTTTATGGATATCTTTGAGAAATGGCCACTCTTCCATAAAGGTCAGATTTGTGCAGTGCACGACTGATTGTTGTCCTATGGACAGACTCTCCCACCTCAGCTGTAGTTATCTGCAGTTCATCCAGAGTGATCATGGGCCTCTTGGCTGCATCTCTGATCAGTCTTCTCCTTGTTTGAGATGAAAGTTTGGAGGGACGGCCGGGTCTTGGTAGATTTGCAGTGGTCTGATACTCCTTCCATTTCAATATAATTGCTTGCACAGTGCTCCTTGAGATGTTTAAAGCTTGGGAAATCTTTTTGTTATCCAAATCCGGCTTTAAACTTCTCCACAACAGTATCTCGGACCTGCCTGGTGTGTTCCTTTGTCTTCATGGTTCTCTCTGCGCTTTAAACAGAACCCTGAGACTATCAAAGAGCAGGTGCATTTATACGGAGACTTGATTACACACAGGTGCATTCTATTTATCATCATCAGTCATTTAGGACAACATTGGATCATTCAAAGATCCTCACTGAACTTCTGGAGTGAGTTTGCTGCACTGAAAGTAAAGGGGCCAAATAATATTGCACGCCCCACTTTTCAGTTTTTTATTTGTTAAAAAAGTTTAAATTATCCAATAAATTTCATTCCACTTCAAGATTGTGTCCCACTTGTTGTTGATTCATGACAAAAAATTAAAATTGTATATCTTTATGTTTGAAGACTAAAATGTGGCGAAATGTTGAAAGGTTCAAGGGGGCCGAATACTTTCGCAAGGCACTGTATGTACAACAAAAGGTACCAGAGCCATCTTCCTCTGATCAGACCCACGCAGCGCGTCTTTACTTGGACCCACATGAAGCCGTTGTGCACTGATAGGTGCTACACATATAATCCACACATTTGTGGGAGACTTTTGAGTTTGATATCTTGCACGTTATTTAATAACACAAACTATCGGCATAGCCCTAACATAACTTTGTAAAATTGCATATTTGTAATGTGAGACGTGTGCCTATAATATTGCCAGAGCAGGATTATGTTTATTTTTGTCCAAATCTTGAATTTCATACGGTCATTTGCGTCTTGAGATGAAGGTTGAGATGGGTGTAAAATATACATCACCTCCAGACTGGGCGTATAATTTGTGCGTACCGTACGCTCGCTTCCAGATTGATAAATCCCGAAATATCTAAACGTTTTGCGTAAGCCTCATTTACACCCTGATTTGGCCGTACGCAAGTTTCATAAATGAGGCCCATCGTGTCTACCTTACCTATAGTTCAGAGTTTGTGGAACAGAAGTTTGTGTGTAGCAATGACTGCCTTTTGTCAATAGAGTTTAGATATCAGCCAAAACCCTTTTAAAAATTAGATTTTAGTTTAAAACAAGAAAATATAGTCCTTTATTAGTTTGAATGTGACATTGGAAGTTTTGTTGTTGTGACAAAAGAAATAATAATACATATTTTTAAAACATTAGAAAACTTTCCTTTGACAAAAGTGTCAAGATGAGAAAACTGTAACTTTTGTTTCGATGTCAGCTCCCTGGATAATGAATCAAATTTTTATGACTTTTTAGCCAATATATATTGCTAATTCAATCTGGAATAACTGAAAATCAATGATGATGTTTATTGAGCATGAACATATTGGGGCTGCATGATTAGGCAACTGGAGATAGTAAGCACTGAGAGTCTTCCAGTCTGAATTTCCACTTTAGCTTCATTATTTCTTGGAGGATAAAACTCTGCTGTGCTGTTGTAATCGCACTTTTTATGAAGATGAAAGTAAGGAGGACTAAGCTCTGAAGTAGACCATTTGTTATTGGATCCCCATGAAGTAAAGGAAAATCTCTTTCATTGGTGTGTTGTCAGTAGTGGTCGAGGGCACCGTTATCAGGCCTGTCAGAGCACTTGTTTGAGGCTACAGCTGATAATGCCAGTGCTCTGAAGCAATAACATTAAACACAAGGC